CGTCCGATACATGTCTTGCTTGTCCATCGATTGTAGATGCTTTTTGAAGGCGGGGGACCAATAAGTCTTCATCAAAGTCGACGGTTAATCCCCATTCAAAGGGGTGAAAGGATATCATTTGGTCTCCCTATCAAGAAGAGCACAGTGACCTCTCATCCAAACTCTTGTCCCTCGGTCATGAGAAAAGGATCACTCAGAAGGAATCCCTCCTTTTCTTAGAGGTGCCAACTCGGTCCCTAAGACGGTGGCGCCTTATGATTAAGACGTCCAGGAATCGCCGTGATTAAGACGTCAAGGAATCCCTCCCTATCAATAAGGCATCCAGGAATCCCAACTTTTCCTGGAGGAATCCCTCTTTTTCCTCAAGGTGAATCATACGATCTATCACATTTGGATTGATGTATTTATTTAACTAGAGAAGCTGTCCCTCGATCAACGCTTTATGATCCCTGAGCTGCCAGACAGAATCTTCACCTTCTTTACCTCGCATTCCATCGGGATGGTGCATATCCCCCAACTACTTGCACATGAACCCACCAAGAACTTCGCCTTGCATCTTTTATCTTGTTCTTTAGGCCCACCAAATGGATCATAGAACCAAAATTAAACTGGATGTAGTCATCTTGGCCAATTCTGAAAGAGAAGAAATGGTTGAACAATCCGATCGACCATGGGATCTTCATCCCTTGGTCGATGAAGCTCATTATGACAACCACAGAGTTGGGAAAAGCCTAAGCAAGAATAAACCTAAACCATCCAAAAACCGATTGCAGTTCCTTTCAGAATGGCAGCCGAAGACCCATTTTGAATAAATCCTTGTAGAAAATCAAGTCGGGGGACAAGTGATCCGTCATTCGTTCATGACTCGCTGAAGGTCGAAGTTGGATGTAGGAATCAAGAATGTAGGAACCCTGAATCTCTATCACGTCAGCCACATAAAGGATCAAATCTTAGGAAGCATGTATCAACCCAAAGACTCCTGGAAAAACTTCCGCACCATAAGATTTGTGATAACACAAAGGAGAAGAGGGGAGGAAGAAGACAACGAACCAGAAAGAAATGAAAGCATACACATCATAAACAGCGCGCGCCCGCACACACACACACACACACACACATAGGTCAATGAACACAAAAAAATGAAACACTGCTGACAAGATCGACGTGATGGATGTCACACGACAATCGACGAAACACAATTATAATCGAAAGTAAAAAAATTACAGTACATTTATTTATTTATTCACAAAAAGAGGGAGGCACGCCTCGCCAAATCCTCATAACTAACCTAAGAAAGGAAAAACTTAACTAAACGTTCATTTTGTGACTTCGTTCGAGACAAATCATCAGTGACGCAACTGTTCATACATGAATTGACCAACCAACTTGAAAAGGTCATTTTGGCCATCGCTCAACTAACCGACGATGTCCTCTCTTACGATCGACAGCTCCAAACACAGACTCGTCATCTCCCCACGAGCAACAAGCTTCTCTCTAGAAAAACAACAAACTCCTCAAGAAGTGCAACAACTTCTTTTTCCACCCGGTCCACTCTCCCAAGATCTCAACAACACCTTCGTCATTACCTCTCCAGGGATGCCCCATGAAATGAAGGAAGCACTCCTCCATTTCAGCAAGACGACGCACCAAGAAGTTGAAGGTTACCCAACACCCACCACCACACCCACTGAAAGGAAAATTCTCCTCTGTCCTCTGCTCCACAACACCCCGCTTTGTGTCAGGCTTACGAGCTTTCACCCGCATGTCATTTATCGCCTTAAGAAGGGCGTCCTTGTCAGAGGATGAATCTCCTCCACCAGACATAATGCAGACACGGAAGGGGAAGATGAAAGATCTTGAGAGCAAGCAGAAAGGAGGAACGGCTCTAACTTTCCTTATCCAATGGTCTTATTTATAGTGGCTTGCATCCAAAATTTTATATCACATCAAAAAATATTATTATTTAACTAAAAGTAAACTATGGCTTTTCACATATAAATTTTATAAAAAAGAAATTGATATAATTTCATATATATAAATATATTGATTAAACAGAGCATGTGCTATCAAATGCAATATAGTACTAAAAGATTATATAAGTACATACGACTATATATTTAAAATACATTGACTATATAGTTTTGAAAAGCATAAAAAAAAACTCTGGAAAAAGTGCTTTGCAATTTGAGTAGATTATTCTATTTAACAATATAATTAAATCCAATTTCTTAGAATCCAACCTGCTGTCCTTAGGATTTATCGAAATTAAAAAATCATAAATTCAGAAAATACACCTAATAATTTAATATTTATTTTTTTAATAAGATATTTTCCTTATTTGAATTTTAAAATATTGAAAAATAAGAATTAATATGAGTCTTAAATGAAGCGAAAAAGGTCGCCGCTCAAATGTGATAGATTAGTTTTTGTGAAGAGATTAAATATCATAGTTGAATGAAGATTTTTTCATTTATTGAAGAATTTAATTTTTAACGTTGAAAACTTGTCATAGAAAGTTCATGATGTTATTTTAAAACAAATAGGGTTAAGATTTTGTATAGGTTTATAGAGATCAATTATATTTGAATTTTTTAAAAAATTAATTTGTAATTTATTGAAAAGAAAAATAAAGATATATCGATAGATAAATTATAATATTTTTTATCAACTTTATAATTTTAATAAAGGAGCAACTATTGATGGAGGGCGAGCTAGAGTTTGTTCATTTTCAACTTATTTGTAATTTATTATTGTTGAATCACTTTTTGACATTGGGTATTGTTTGCAGGTTCAAACAATCCGGGAGAAATCTGTGTAATGAAGGTGAATGAAGATGTTGAATTTGTTATTTAGATATGAATTATGTATTTAATTTTTTTATCATCTTATGGCCGAGCGAAAAAGATGATGTAATGAGATAAGGGGGCAATAGAGGTTCCTTGAGAGCCATGGAGTGAGATCCTCCAAAAAATTCCGACAGTCTAAAATATTGTGGCATAGATGTCAGATTGCTCATAAATGAAGATGTGACATCAATTTTTGATATTGGTTTTCATTTTTGCATTCCGTGAATTCTTAGGATCATCAACTAGGCGAGCTTGGTAGAGCAGTTTGAATAATCAGTCTATTAGACAGGTTTGTCGGGCTTTCCTTAGTTAATTTGCTATGAGAATTTGATTGGTGAAGCTCTCGTGATCAGTTTGTCATGTGAATATGGCAGGACATTTTAACAAATTAGCTCGTCAACTAATACATGAGAGCTGACACATCGCTGAATGAGATTAGCATATCACTTTAACATGTCACTTTGATGTAAGTTGTGTTTTTCGAGTAATTAGGAGCCTACTAGTACTTTAAAAGATTGATTCTAATCATTTTTGGTCATCACTTTACTGAGGAAAATAAAATCCTCATCCTAGAATTGAGGTCTTTTTTATAAAAGTAGTTATAAAGTCAATATTTTTTTTGAAAGTTGTTATCAATTTAATGAATAATATAAAAAATAGATATTTATTTTTTTAATAATTATTATAACACAATAATTATTATTATTAAAAATAATTTCAATAAGAAAATAATAAGTGCAATTATAATGGGAGTATGAAAAACAACATAAGGTTATACTGTCCGACTTTTAGGCTCACCGGTCCGCGATCTATGTGCGGTCGTGTGTCTGTTGGTTATTTTTTCGTGTTCCCGCCAACCGCGGAAGACAGAAACGGAATGTCGATTATGGACCGAAAGCAAAAACGTGGAGTCATCTAGCTCATTCATCTAAAATTAACTTGCATCCAAGCCGTCTATTTTTCTTCCCTCTGCTATATAAGGCCTTCGGTGCTTTTCCTCAACCGCGGGCTCGTGTCTATCGTTCCCTTTTCTTATTGTTCGGCGTTCCCTTTAATGGCCGCTTACATTGATTTGAAGGCTCTCGCTTCTCCGATCACCTGATCGTGAGTGGGTGATCGATGGACGGGGGCCGATTATGGAGCTGTTATTGGAGATCGGAGTCAGGCCTCAGATCTGGATCAGATTGGACCAGACATCATCTTCCCTGCTGCTTGCTTCTGTTTTTACGCGCTGATATTGATGGCATGGAGCTGCAAGATCACAGTTTCTGAAGATGGATGGTATCGACCTCGTATGGTTAAGGGTATATTTATTGTTACGCGGTTTTTAGAGCGAGTTGTGGTGTGTTTTGGTGCTCTTTACAGGATATAGAAATTATTGCGTTTTGCTCGGGTGCGTAGATTGAATACTGGAGTTTACCGTAGTTATGATAATGTTTTGAAGCCGGAGACGACATTGTGACATTCATTTGTCGTGTCTGATGATCTGTTTGTTATTTCTTGTCATCTCTCGGCCTTTGCCATGTTGGGTGCGCTCGCATGGCAGGCCAAAATTCTAATAAAATTTCATTTTCTTGGGTGTTTTTTAGGGGGAGATCGCACGGGACGTTTGTTTTGCCCGGGTTCTCCCCTTTCCTGTGTTCTTCCTTTCTTCTTCGCTCTCTTGTTTATTTTATTTTGCCTTCTGTGTTTAATGTGTGGTGTGTAAATCTAGACGGGACATGGTCGCATATATCGAAGCTTCGAACTACGAATCTGTAACCAAACACTATGAATCTGACTGTACGTGCTTGACGATAATCTAGGTTCTGAATAACTTGATGAGGTATAATCAAATTTTAATACTTAAATCAATACTTGCAGGGTTTATAAGCAGGAAAACCTCTCATTGAAAATGAAAATAAATACTGCCCCAATTATTTAGTTCTGTATTCTTTCAGCCCCATATCGTGCTCAAGCAGTGCTACATAACACATTTTACCGATAATATTGGGTACATAACCACTGACTAAAAAAATATTCTGAATTCACGTGGCCGCACTTTGATTTGAAGTTGCTCATGCTGATTGAGTTAGTTTATTCTTATGCGAATTATTTTTTTTTGGGGATAATTACATTTATAGCACCCTGAATATTGCTATTTACAAATGAAGTTCGCAGGCGATTTTTGAACTAAATGAGATGGCTGATTCTTTCAATCAAAATCAATTCGAATCCTGCCACCATGCACTGCCAAACTTCTTTCTTTGATTTTCCACATTCAGATAAAGCTGATCCTATCCTCTGGTTGATATAAGTGACAAAGGTTTAACGGAATGGCTGCAATTTTTATTTCATGAGTTTTAATTGTGAGAATGTATTCTATGTCAAATCTGGACTTGGCACTTATTATAAAAAAGGATAATTACATACAAACCACCCGAAACGTTGATATTTAGAAATAGCCAGTTTCAGGTGGTCTGCATGTAATTGCCTCCCAAGAAAAGCCTCTGCCTGTGAAATTAAAATTTAAGTTTATGATTTTTTGTTGTTTTTAATTCAGAATTACTCCAGCAGGGTGCCATATTTGGAAACCATATAAGACTTCATTACAAGGGTGATTTACATAGGTACTTCTCTTATCTTGTTTCATATCTAGCACTTTATCTTCAATTTTTACATACCAAATTACTTCAGCATGAACAGGTTTGTTTCACCTTTTAAAATGTGATATGTAAGATTTTGGTTGTATAAATATAAAGAGTAAATCTAAGTGTTGGATATGCAATACATAAGAATCTGGGTGGTATGTATGCAAATTTTCTATTTAGGAAGATTTTAGAACCTTTATCAGATATTCTCAGGTCTCAGATCTGGATGGTCTTCCCTGTTATTTTCTTCTTTAAACTTTTTGATATTGTTAAGCCTGAAGGTTTTCATGCTTCGCTGTTCTAAAATGTCCAGTCAATCCCTGCAAATAGATAGTTTCAATCCTTATGGGTTAATTAGAGATTGAGAAAAGTGCCACAATAATCAATACGGAGTTGATTTAGCTGTAGATTCTTAAAAAAATGTTAACGAATATTTACAAACATATCACTCATTTCTCATGTATTTAAAGTCTGTTATTTTATTGCTTATGATTTGCTTTGTGTGCCATATTATGGTGAATATTTCATCTGGACACCACACGATCGGATGACCAATCACCGGGGCCAAGTCGCCACGGGTGACATGGCCGCTGGTGGTTGGCGTAAGTGCTTCAGGATAGAATATTTTTTTTGCCAAATATAGCTATTGTCATTTTCAATGAACTTCTTTTGTATAACACCAACACAGATTCTGAAGAACTGTGTGAGTTATAAACACTTTTTAATCCTTTAAAAAATAAATGCTTGAATGTTTGATATATTCTTGTTTGTTTCTTTGTTTAATTTTAAATGCCGCACAACAAGTATCTTGCAAGGGCGCTCTACAAGCTCATTATGATTTGTCTCTATTTTTCCAGAACAATCTCTTAAGGATACTCTACAAGCAACTAAAACAGGCTAATGCTATCCACAAAATCCCAGTTATTCATTTGGTGAAAATTATTCATTTGGTGAATCATTTCAATTTCACTACTCAGTTCTTAAATATTGTAATTAAATTTTCAGTACATTTTAGTTTTTTGTTATTTTTTGTTAATTTGCACAATTTTTTTGTGTTAATAGAACTTTTTTAAAAATTTATTATTACCTCTTGCATTTGACGAAATGTTCATCTGTTAATTGGGAATATGGAAGCAATTGATTTGGTTGTAATTAGAATAATGTATTTATATGATGGGCGACTCATCTTTAATTGAATTATTGAATGTCATAAATAAGGCAGCACTTTTAGCTCAAAACTCTTTAATTGCTCAAATTGATTTGGATGTTGACTCGGATCAAATAAATGAGTCAAGTTATCAGCTAAAATTTTGAATTGAATTTGATTATCTTTTTTTAGGTGAATTTGAGTCGATTCTAACTTGATTTGAATTAAATTGTTAACAGCATTAGTGTGTTGGCACTTATTTTTTATGCAGCATATATAAGGTGTCCTTTCTAAGTGACATAGGATTGTATTGGATTTCACATGGCTTATCGTGACTCAAGGAGCCCATGAGATATTTAAGTGAACACTTCAGGCAATATAATTGGGGTTTGCACCGTCACATTTGTACTTGAAGACGATTGATGCTGAGCAAGCTTTGTTGTTGATTTATTTCGTGTTGGCATTTGTTTTTGCTACATGAGGCTATACTTTATCGATATAGACACCCTCATGATACAAACAATCAACAAAATTGTCCCACACCATGTTTATGCCTTATGTTTATGGTTTGGATAAACGATTTTTGCATTGGAATCGTTCTTACTTGATGACATGAATATGTAGCATCTTTTAGAGTTCTTAAGATGCACTTACGACCTTGGCAAGGGATCAAGACTCATATACGATCCTTCAGAGTTTTCACGAGGCCTGAAACCCCCTTAGATCATCATGCCCACACTCGAAAATAGAGTGATCATGTCAGCTATACAGAGACTTTAACATGATTATACTGGGGTGTGGGCGTGAATAGCCTAAATCGTGAGAAGAGGCACCTAGGTCCCTCGATCGACGTAATCATGCCTGAAGGTGGCGTGATAACACAAACCAAATAGAGTTCTGACATGGCCATGTCAGCCTCTTATTTGCGATGATTGTTATAATGGTGTCTTTCCTAGATATAATCGATGTCCCAAATGCGTTCACACAGTCAATTTTGTCATTCAAGATCATTTGGAGAAATTTGAATGAGGACGGACTAATTAAATCTAATTTTAGGGTTTATGGTTTAGGTTTTAGGGTTTAATGTTAGGGTTTAGTGGGTTTAGGGTTTAAGGTTTAGTGTTAGGTTTTTTTTAATTTATTTTTTATTTTTTTTTAATAAGGTTTAGGATTTTTTTTTTTTTAGAGCTTAGGGTCTAGGCTTTAGGGTTAAGGGTTTAAGGTTTAGAGTTTAGGGTTTAGAGTTTAAGATTTAGGGTTAAGATTTTTTTTTTAGGGTTTAGGGTTTAGGGTTTGGTTTTCTAAGGTAGTTCTGAGTTTTTTTGTTATTGTTTTTTAGTATTCAGGGTTTTTTTATTAGGGTTTAGGGTTTAGGATTCAAAGGTTTAGGATTTTTGATTTAAGGCTTTTAGGGTTTAGGGTTTAGGGTTTAGGATTTACGGGTTAGGGTTTTGGGTTTTGGGTTTTGTGTTTAAGGTTTTGGGTTTACGGTTTTTCTTTTTTAGGGTTTAGAGTTTTTTTTTTTTAAGGGTTTAGGGTTTTTCTTTTAGAGTCTAGAGTCTTTTAAGGTTTTAGCGTTTAGGGGTGACAGTCTAGGGTTTAATGTTTAGGGTCTTGGTTGTAGGATTTAGGGTTTAGAGTTCAGGATTTTGGGTTAGGTTTATGGTTTTTTTTAAGGTTTAGTGTTAGAGTTTAGGGTTAAGAGTGTAAGCACTTTTTTTTTTTGAGGATTAAGGTTTTAAGGTTTAGGGTTTGGGGTTTACGGTCTTTTTTTAGGGTTCAGTGTCTAGGTTCTAGAATTTGGGGTATACGATTTAGAGTTTAGGATTTATGGTTTAAGGTTTACAGTTTTATTAAGGCTTTATGGTTAGGGTTTAATGGGTTTAAGGCCTAATGTTTAGGGTTTAATTTTGTTGTTTAGAGTTTAGTTTTGTTGTTTAGGGTTTAGAGTTTAAGGTTTAGTGTTAGAGGGTTTTTTTTAGGGTTTAGGTTTTAATATTTAGGGTTACAGGTTTATTGTAGTTTTTTTATTTTTTTTTAATGTTTAGTGTTTAGGATTTAAGGTTTAGGGTTTAGGTTTTTTCCTTATAGCTTAGAGTTGAGAGTTTTTTTTAAGGGCTTAGGATTTAAGGTTTAGGGTTAAGGTTTTAGGGTTTCAGATTTAGCGATTAGTGTTTAGGGTTTAGAGTTAGGGTTTTTTTTTTTCTTGGAGTTTAGGGTTTAGAGTTTAGATTTTTGGGTTTATGTTTTATGGTTTAGAGTTTAAGATTAGGGGTTTACTTTTTCAGGGTTTAGGGTTTATGTTTTTTTTAGAGTTTAGTTTTTTATTATTAGGGTTTTGGAGTTTATGGCTAATTTTTTATTTTATTATTATTTTTTTAAGATTTTAGGGCTTAGGGTTTAGGGTTTATGACTTAGGGTTTCGGGTTTAGGCTTTAAGGTTTAAAGTTTAGGGTTTAGGGTTTTAGGTTTAAGGTTTTGGTTTTGGGGTTTTGAGTTTAGGGTTTTTCTTTTTCAGGGTTTACAAAATTTATGATTTTTTTTTGTTTTTTTAGGGTTTTTTTAGGCTATAGTGTTTAGGGTTTAGGGTATTGGGACTAGGGACTTGGGTTGGTCTAGGGTTTAGGGTTTCTAGTTTTGGGTTTAGGGGGGTTTTTTTAAATGTTTAGGAATAGGGTTTAGAGTTTTTTTTTTGGTAGTGTTTAGGGGTTTTTTTTTAGGGTTAGGGTTTATGAGCTAGGGTTTAGGTTTTTTTTAGGGTTTAGGATTTAGGGTTTATTGTTATGGATTTAGATTTTTCGGTTTCAGGTTTAAGTTTAATGGTTTAGGGTTTAGGGTTTTGGGTTTAGGGTTTAGGGTACAGGGAGAGTTTAGGGTTTAAACTTTAGGGTTTAGTGTTTAAAGTTTTAAGGTTCAAGTTTTAGGGTTTTTTTTTATTTTTTATTTTTTTAGGGTTTAGTACTCAGGATTTAGGGTTTAAGACTTAAGGTTTATGATTTGGGGTTTAGAGATTCAAGTTTAGGTTTAGGGTTTAGTGTTTAGGGTTTATGAAATTTATGGTTTTGTTTTGTTTTTTTTTTATATAGAGAGAGTCACGCCTAAGAGTCAGGTACCCCGCGATAAGCGCAAGAAGTAGTTATTTGATGATTCATTGAATTGAGACGAATTTTTGAAGAAGTGTTTGAAGAAATCCTTGGTAAAAACGTGGGAAATAGCCCATGGGCACGAAAATTCATTCAATTGGCTTTTGAAAGGAGATAACTTCTAGAAGATTCATTGAATGGAGACACATTTTGAAGAGACACCAAGACACATTTTGGTTTTTTATAAAAAAGACTTGGATCATCAAAATAGAGAGAACCAGCCAATCCCAACCAACAGTCATCATCCATCCAAGTAACCGCCGTTGTCGCCGCCGGCCACTTTACTTTTTTATTTGAGTTTTAGTTTGTATTGTGAGAAGATAATTCAAAGAAACAGAAACTTCAAGACATTTGGTGAAGAAAATTTGAGATAAGTGTTTATCTTTGTTACTACATTTGGTTTTAATTTGGATTGCTTGTTTGTGTGCATGAATTCTACCTTTAAACTCAAGTGTGGTTGTGTAAACTCAATAAACTCAAGTGTGGTTGTGTTTTCTCTATGGATTCTGAGTAGTTTTCTTTATCTTTTTTTCTTAAAATGATAAGTAACTAAGTATTGAAAGGAAGTTGTGTGAAATAGTAGACTTCAATGCTGGAAGAAGAATTAATGATTTGAAACCTTATACTTCATTTACTTTTTTATTTTAAGATTTTAATGCATGTTGTGAGAATATGTAAGATCCAAGATGGTATTGCCTCAGTCAAAAAATGATAAGAATCACATTTGATTTCATGGATGAGAATGTAGTTCTTGGGTTTGAGTGCAAATAAATAGAGAAATAAACTTTCAAGGGTGTAAAATTAGAGGACTAGAGTGACAGGCTAAAGCCCCAAATTTAATTTATTATTTTAGGTTTTGATACGAGATGTGAGCCCCTAGATGAAGGGAGAAGAGGGAACTCTAGAGTAAGAGCTAGTATCTTCCCTACCTAACCAGTCTTCAAAACTATATATTGACCAATGTTCTTTATAACATCTTTAGTAAGTGTAAAGAATATTATTGCTCTTATTTGACACAACACATTTTGAATGCTTCCACAACATAATTTCTATACTTTTTACTGATTCATAATAAGGAAAAAAATATTTTATTTATATTGACTTCATCTTGCATGTATTTAGTTAAGTTAATTAGTTGCTTACTTTAGTTAAATTAAACTAAATTACAAAAAAAATCAAATTTCTTTCATATTATAGCATCTTTAGTTTAAGTAAGAATATTTTGCTAAGTAGAATTTTATTATTTAACTTCTTTTATTTTGTAGAGTGCATATTGTCAAATTTTTCCTATGGGTTTGAGATTCGAGGCTTAATCAAAAAGTCTTATATTACTTGATAACGATACATATACTTGCGTAGTATCTCATATTTAATTGTTATTATAATTGTATTCTTCTTTGCTTCATAGTGGAAAATTTAACTAGCTTTTGCTTTGGATCAAGTTTTTAGCTTTTTTGCAAATAAGGAATCATTATTAAGGAAATTAAACATATAATCACATATATCGTAATAAACATCTATATAGAAAGTCAGAATCAATTAAGGTTTAGGATTTTTTATTTTTTTAGTGTTTAGGGTTTATGGTTTAGGTTTTTTTTTAGGGTTTGAGGTTTAGGGCATTTTTTTAAGGGTTTAAGGTTAAGGATTTAGATTTTAGGGTTTATGGTTTAGGTTTTATTGTTTAGGGTTTAGGGTTTAGATTTTAGGGTTTAGGGTATAGAAATTTAGGGTTTAGGGTTTGGGGTTTAGATTTTAGGGTTTATGGTATAGATATTTAGGGTTTAGGGTTTAGATTTTAGGGTTTAGGGTATAGGGATTTAGGGTTTAGGGTTTAGGGTTTAGGGTTTTTTTAGGGTTTAGGGTTTTTTTAGGTTTTAGGGTTTAAATTTTAGGGTTTTAAGGTTTAGGATTTAGGGTTTAGGGTTTTTTTTAGGGTTTAGGGTTTAAGTTTAGGGTTTTTAGGTTATAGTTTTTAGGGTTTATGCTTTAGGGTTTAGGATTTAGGGTTTAAGGTTTAGGGTTTAGGGTTTAGGGTTATTTAGTGTTTAGGGTTTAGGGTTAGGGTTAAGGATTTTAGGGTTTAGAGTTTAAGGGTTAGGGTTTAGCATTTCAGATTTAGGTTTAGGGTTTAGGGTTTAGCGTTTTGGATTTAGAGTTTAGGGTTTTTGGTTTAAGGTTATTAGGGTTTAGGTTTGTGGTTAAGAGTTTTGAGTTTAGGGTTTAAGGTTTAGGGTTTGGATTTAGGTTTTCTCTTTTTTAAGGTTTATGAGGTTTAAGGTGTTTTTTTATTTATTTAATTTTTTTAAAGGGTTTAGTGGTTAGGTTTTAGGGTTTAGGGTTTTGGGGTTTAGGGTTTAGGGTTTTTATTTTTTAGGGTTTAAGGTTTATGGTCTTTTTTCTTAGGGTATAGCGTTTAGGGTTTAGGGTCGAGGGCTGGTCTAGGGTCAAGGTTTTGAGTTTAGGGTTTTTTTTTTAGGGTTTACAATTGGGGTTTTTTGTTTCGGGTTTAGGGTTTAGGTTTTGAAGTTTTTTTAGGGATTATGGTTAGGGTTTATGGTTTGAAGTTTATGATTTCTTTTTTTTAAGATTTAAGGTTTATGGTTTAGGGTTTTGTTAGAGTTTAGGGTTTTGGGTTAATGATTTAGAGTTTAGGTTTTATAGTTTTAAGTTTTTTTTTTTTTTATTGGGGGGTTTAGGGTTTAGAGTTTAAGGTCGTAACACCATGCTCTGTAACACCCTACTCCCGCTTCGCCATACCATGCTTTGCAACATCCAACTCCAGAACATCCCGTTCCATGGCACCATACTCCACAATGCCCAGTTTCACAACACATTGTTTCACAATATCAACACCACCACCGCAGTGACCTGTTCCACAACTGTCACGTCGTCCTTAGGATAAGTGCTAGTATATGTCGATACAAAAAATTCTTAGAATTTCTATAGTTGTATTAGGAAAATTAGTACAAACATTCAAGATAATATAAAACCACCTACCTAAGAGTCGATTCTAATTAGACATAAAAAAAATGTAGCATCCTCACCAATCTTGTCTAGCTTTCCGCTCTTAGAAAAAAAAACCACCCTTCGACATATGAGATGGTGTTTTCGCTCGTTCATCGCCTCGCTCAGACCACCTTGAGGAAATGTCACCGCCGACACAGCCTGAACGAGCATCCGTTTCCCCCCGACAGAAACGTCTGCCTTAGTCGAATGCCCAACAAGACGGTCGCCTGAATGTCCTCCAAGGCTCTCAAAGATCCTCTCTAGCAATGAGCTCAGAAGAAGACCCTAGGATTCTAATCGACCCTCATGATCCCTAGTTCGTGACCTTTGCACAACTCTTTATCGTTCTCTAATATACCTTTCCTCACCCCCCTGCAAAAACGTTCTATATCTTGGTTGTGTTTCTTGGACACTTTAGGATCTTACACTTATGTATTTACATATTTAATACCTAAACATTTTTCTTTGCATTTATAAAACCCGAAAATATCATATCACATCAAAAATTGTATTATTTAACTAAAAGTAAATTATGGCTTTCCATACATAAATTTTATGAAAATGAAATTGATATAATTTCATAATAATTAAACAAAGTATATGCTATCAAATGTAATGTAATACTAAAAAATAACATAAGTACATATTACTATATATTTAAAATATATTGGCTATATATTTTTGAAAAGCATAAAACAACTTCTGAGAAAGTGCTTAGCAATTTGAGTACATTATTCTATTTAACAATATTAATTGAATCCAATTTCTTAGAATCCAACATGCTGTCCTTAGGATTTATTGAGATTTAAAAATTATAAATTCAGAAAATACACCTAATATTTTTCATATTTGTTTTTTAAATAAGATAATTTCTTTTGGTATTTAAAATATTGAAAAATAAGAATTAATACGAGTCTCAAATGAAGTGAAAAAAGTTGCCACTCAAATGTGATAGATTAATTTGTTGAAGAGGGTAGATATCATAGTCCATTGAAGATATTCTTCGTTTATTGAAGAATTTAATTTTTAACGTTAAAACCATGTCATATAAAGTTCATGATGTTAATTTAAAACAAATAGGGTTAGTATAGCTTTGTTGAGATCAGTTATATTTGAATTTTCTAAAAAATTAATTTGTAATTTATTGAAAAGAAAAATAAAAATATACCGAAAAATAAATTGTAATATTTTATCAACTTTATAATATCAATAAAGACTATTGATAGAGGGCGAGATAGAGTTTGTTCATCTTCAACTTATTTGTAATTTATTATTGTTGATTCATTTTTTGACATTGCTTGCATTATCTTTTGGTTTAAACAATTTGGGAGACACTTTTGTAATGAAGGTGAAAGAAAATGATGGATTTGTTATTCAGATCTGAATTATGTATTTAAATTTTTTTTTATCATCCTATGGTTGAGCGAAAAAGAAGATATAATGAGATGTGGGGGCAATAGAGGCTCCGTGAGAGCCACGACGTGATATCCTCCCAACAAAGTCCGACGGTCTCTCATGAATCAATCTTCCATACTTTTGCATGTCTCGAAAAAAATAGAAAAATACAAATCTTGATATACAAAAACTATTTTGGGTGTCTTGATGAAAATATTGTGGTGTGGGTGTTGGTTTTCTCTTTTGCATTCTGTCAATTCTCAGGATCATCGGCTAGGCGAGCTTTGTAGAGAAGTGAATAATAAATTTCTTAGGCAGGTCTGCCGTGCTTTTCTTGGTTAATTTGCTAGAATAATTTGATAGGTGAATTTCTTGTGATCAGTTTGTCATGTAACTTATGTTTTTTGAGTAGGTACGAGCATACTAGAGATATGATTTGGCTCGGAAAAATTTATTTTTCTTTAAGCTCTGAATCGAGTTCATGACTTTATAAGATCGACTCTGACTATTTTTGATCATCACTTTAATTAAAAAATAAACTATTCATCATAGAATTGAGGCATTTTTATAAAAGTAGTTATAAACTTTGAAATTTTTTTTTTTTGGAAGTTGTTATAAATTTAATGAATAAAATAAAAAAAATAGATATTTATTTATTTTTAATAATTATTATAACTCAACACTTTTTATTATTAAAAATAATTTCAATAAGAAACTAATAAGTGTCCTTATAATGGGAGTATGGAAAACAAAATAAGAACCTTCAAGCTCACCGGCCCACGATCTATGTGCCATCGTGTGTTTCTGTTTTATTTTTTCGTGTTCCCGCCAACCGCGGAAAGCAAGAACGGAATGTCGATTATGGACCGAAACTGAACACCTGGAGTCATCTAGCTCATTCATCTAAAATGACCTGCATCCAAGCCGTTTATTTTTCTTCCCTCTGCTATATAAGGCTTTTGGTGCTTTTCCTCAACCGCAGGCTCATTTCTATCGTTCCCGACATCATTGTTCGGCGTTCACTTTAAAGGCTGTTTACATTGATTTGAAGGCTTTCACTCTTCTCCGATATCACCAGATCGTGAGTGGGGGATCGATAGACGGGGGGCGATCATTGAGCTGTTATTGGAGATCGGAGTCAGGCCTCAGATCTGGATCAGATTGGACCAGACATCGTCTTCCCTGTTGCTTGTTTCTGGTTATATACGCTAATATTGACGGCCTTCAGCTGCGAAATCACAGTTTCTGAAAATGGATGGTATTGACCTCGTATGGTTAAGAGTATATTTAATGTTACGCGGTTTTTAGAGCGAGTTGTGGTATTCTTTACAGGATATAGAAATTATTGTGTTTTGCTCGTGTGCGTAGATTGAATACTCGAGTTTACCGTAGTTATGATAATGTTTTGAAGCCGGAGACGACATGGTGACATTCATTTGTTGTGTCCGATGATCTGTTTGTTATTTCTTGTCATCTCTCGGCCTTTGCCATGTTGGGTGCGCTCGCTTGGCAGGCCAAAATCCTAATAAAATTTATTTTTCTTGGGTGTTTTTAAGGGGGAGATCGCACGGGACGTATTTTTGGCCCGGGTTCTCCCCTTTCCTATGTTATTCCTTTTTTCTTCGCTCTCTTTGTTTTATTTTGCCTTCTGTGTTTAATGTGTGGTGTGTAAATCTAGACGGGACATGGTCGCATGGATCGAAGCTTCGAACTACGAATCTGTAACCAAACACTATGAATCTGACTGAACGTGCTTGACGATAATCTAGGTAGGTTCTGAATAACTTGATGAGGTATAATCAAATTTTAAAACTTAAATCAATACTTGCATGGTTTATAAGCAGGGAAACATCTCATTGAAAATAAAAATACATACTTCCCCAATTATTTAGTTCTGTACTCTTTCAGCCCCATTATTGTGCTCAAGCAGTGCTACATAACACATTTCGCCGATAGTATTGAGGACATAACTACTAACAAAAAAATATTCTCAATTAACGTTGTTGGCACTTTGATTTGAAGCTGCTCCTGCTGATTCAGCTAGTTTTTTTTTATTGGGATAATTACATTTATAGCACCCTAAATTTTGCTATTCACAAATGAAGTTCGCAGGAGATCTTTGAACTAAATGAGATGGCTGATTCTTTCAATGAAAATCAATCCGAATCCTGCCGCCATGCACTGCCAAACTTCTATCTTTGATTTTCCACATTCAGGTAAAGCTGATCCTATCCTCTGGTTGATATAAGTAACAAAAGGTTAACGAAATGGCTGCAATTGTTATTTCATCAGTTTTAATTGTGAGGATGTATTCTATGTCAAATCTGGACTTGGCACTTATTAAAAAAAAGGATAATTACATACAAACCACCCGAAACGTTGATATTTAGAAATAGCAAGTTTCAGGTGGTCTGCATGTAATTGCCTCCCAAGAAAAGCCTCTGCCTGTGAAATTAAAATTTGAGTTTATTATTTTTTGTTGTTTTTAATTCAGAGTTACTCCAGCAGGCTGCAATATTTGGAAAGACTTCATTACAAGGGTGATTTACATCGGTACGTATGCAAATTTTCTATTTAGGAAGATTTTAAAACCTTTATCAGAGATGGTTTCAGGTCTCAGATCTGGATCGTCTTCCCTGCTTTTATTTTCTTCTTTTAATCTTTTTGATATTGTGATGCCTGAAGATTTTCATGGTTAGCTGTCCAATAATTTCATGTAAACAATTTCTTCAGATCGATAGTTTTGATCCTTATTGGTCAATTAGAGATTGAGAAAAGAGACACAATGATCTCTAGGGAGTTGATTTTGTTGTAGATTCATAAAAAATGTTAAATAGAATATTTACAAACATATCAGTCATTGCCCATGTTTATTGCTGATAATTATTTATGCCATATTATAGATAAAATATTCCATCAATCATCGGCAGCTGCGTTGTCATACATGTCATCTGCAGGCAACGTGGCCGCCGGTAGTTGGCCGTGCGGATATTAGGACGGAATATTTTCTGTCTTGTTCGGTGGGCACCAACATAGATTCTAAAGAACTATGTGAGTTATATATACTTACTAACCCTTCAAAAAATAAATACTTGCATGTTTGATTATTGGGAAATTTACATCCATGCCTTAAAATTCTTATTTATTTTCATATTTAACATACTTATAACATTTTAATGTCATAAAAGTTATGAATGTAAATGTGTGTTTCACTTGAAAAAAAAGGGAATTCACCTCTGTATTTTTAAAAGTTTTGATCTATGTTAATATGAATGTATTAGGTGTTAGGCAAATATGTAAATGCCCCTTTGATATTTATGAGTGCATTTTCTAATTATACAACAAACATTTAAATAGTTTCATTTACTTAACTGTCGAAATATTTATACATCTAACATTTAAATTTGTACTTGTGCTCGTAAGATTAGTTTGTGCATCATAATAAAATGCAATTGCTCGGTATGAAATTGGGGATGGATGTGGGATAAGACCGCCAGAAGAAATAGGCCAATAATTAGGGCAGTACTTTTAGCTCGAAGTTCATTAATTGCTCAAATTGATTTGAATGTTGGCTCAGATCAAATAAATGAGTCGAGTTGTGAGTTAAAATTTTAAATTGAATTTTGATCCTTTTTTTTACGGTGAATTTGAGTCGATTCTAACTTGGTTCATAATTAAATCGTCAACAACTCTAGTGAGTTAACATTTATTTTTGATGTAGCATATACAAGACATCCTTTCTGAGTGACACGGGATTGTATTGGATCTCACATGGCTTATCGTGCCTCGAGGAGCCCATGAGATATTTAGGTGAACACTTCGGGCAATGTAATAGGGGTTTGAACTGTCGTGGTCATACTCAAAGACGATTGATGTTGAACAAGCATTGTTGTTTATATCCTTCGTGTTGAGGTTCGTTCTTGCGACATGGGGCTATGTTTTATTGATACAGGCACCCTCATGAGGAAAACAATCAACAAAATTACCCCACACCATGTTTATGCCTTGTCTTTAAAGTTTGGATAAACTGATTTTTGCGTTGGAAAGGTTCTTACTCGGTGACATGCATATGGAGCATCTTCTAAACTTCTTAAGACACTTACGATCCCGGTAGGGTCTGGGGATCAAGACTCATATACCTTGGGAGTTCCTACGAGGTCTGAAACTTCCTTGGCGAGCTCTTTCGAAAGCCAATGTTAAGAGGGGTTCGACATGGTCATGGCCAATTCAGGTGTGGAACACCCATCCTACCTCTCAAGAATATCGGAAAGCCTTATTTACAACATGACCACACTTGAGATTAGGGTCAAGGGTTAAGGTTTTTTTTAGAGTTTAGGATTTTGGGTCTTTTTTTTTAGGTTTTAGCGTTTAGGGTTTACGGTTTAAGGTCTAATGTTTAGGGTCTAGGGTGTAGGATTTAGAGTAGGGTCTGTTTAGGATTTAAGATTTAGAGATTAGGGTCAAGGGTTAAGGTTTTTTTTTTTATAGTTTAGGGTTTATCTTTTAGGGTTTCAATTTTTGGGTTAGAGGTTTTGATTTTTAAGTTTAGGGCTTAAAGTTTGTTTTTTTATTAGGGTTTAGGGTTTAGGATTCAAAGGTTTGGGCTAGGGTTTTCGGTTTAGGGTTTAGTGTTTTGAGTTTAGATTTTAGGGTTTTTGGTTTAGGGTTTAGTGTTTAGAGTTTAGGGTTTAGGGTTTATGGTTTTGGGTTTAGCTTTTTGCGTTTCGTGCTAAAGGTATAGGGGTCAGGGTTTAGGATTTAGAGTTTTTCATTTTTAGGGTTTAGTGTTTGAGTTTTAGGGTCTAGGTTTTAGAGTTTAGGGTTTAGGGTTTTTTTATGTTTAGGGTTTTGGGTCTTTTTTTTTAGGTTTTAGCGTTTGGGGTTTACGGTTTAGGGTCTAGGTGTAGGATTTAGAGTTTAGGGTCTAGAGTTTAGGGTTTAGAGTTTAAGGTTTAGGGTTTAAGGTTTAGGGTTAGAGTTTTAGGTTTACGGTTTAGAGTTTTTTTCAGGGTTTAGTGCTAGAGTTTAGGGTTAAGGGCTTAGGTTTTTTTTTTCTTAAGGTTTAGGTTTAAGTGTTTAGGGTTTAGAATTTTGGGTTTTATGGTTTATGGTTTAGGGTTTATGGTTTTTTTTTATGGTTTAGTGTTTAGGGTTTACATTCTAGGGTTCAATGTCTAGGGCCTAGGGTCTAGGATTTAGGGTTTAGGGTTTTTTTTAGGCTTTATGGTTAGAGTTCAATGTAAGGCTTATAGTTTAGGGTTTAGGGTTAGGGTTTTTGTTTTTTACGGTTTAGGGTTTAAGGTTTAGTGATAGGGTTTTTTTTTTAGGGTTTAGGTTTTAGTATTTAGTGTTAAGGGTTTAGTGTTTTTTTTTTTTTTAAAGGTTTGAGGTTTAGGGTTTAAGGTTTAGGGTTAGGTTTAGTGGAAGATTTTAGAAGCTTTATCTGAGAGTATCTCAGGTTTCATATAAGGATCGTTTTCCCTGCTGTTATTTTCTTCTTCTAATCCTTTTGATATTGTGAAGGCTGAAAGTTTTCTTGGTTCGTTGTCCTATAATGTCATGTCAACAATTTCTGCAGATAGATAATATCAATCCTTATTGGTTAATTAGAGATTGTGAATAGTGCCACAATGATCAATACGAAGTTGACTTAGTTGTAGATTCATAAAAAATGTTAAGGAATATTTACAAGCATATCACTTATTTCTCATGTATTTACATATCGCACTTGGCATGAGCTATTTTCTATGTAAAGTCTTATTATTGTTGATGATTTCTTTTGTGTGACATATTATTAAGAAAATATTCCGTCCGACACCGTATGGCCAGAATAATCACCGGGGGCGTGTCGCAATACATGTCATCAGCAGGTGACGTGGCTGTTGGTGGTAGACCGTGCGGACGTCCGAATGGAATAATTTTTTTGCTGCCAAATATAGTCGTTGTCATTTTCAATGAGCTTCTTTTGCATAACACCAACACAGATTCTAAAGAACTTTGTGAGTTAAAAACGCTTAATAACCCTTCAAAAAATAAATACTTGGAAGTTCAATTATTGGGAAATTTACTTGCTTCCCATACAATTCCTACTTATTTACATATTTAAAATACAATGTTTGAAATTTATACCTGGAACATTTTGATGTCATAAAAGTTTTTAAAGAAATTGTGTATTTCACTTTGAAACAAAAGGGGGAGTCGTCGCTGTATTTTTAATGTCATGTTTTAGTTTTGATCGGCATGTTAATTTGAATGTATAGGCGTTAGGTAAATATGTAAATTATACAACAGATATTTAAATATTTTCAATTACTAATCATAACTGTTGAAATATTTATATATATAACATTTAAATTTTTTCTGCATCATAATAAAAATGCTATTGCTGGGTATGAAATTGGGGATGGATGTTGGGATAAGACCAGTGAGAGAGCAAGGGTTTCTGCAGCAAGGGTTAAAAATTAAGAAATAGGCGATCAGTTGGGGCTTGAGATGGAAAAATTTATGCCACA